GTCAAAATAATGTACTATTTTAACCACAGAGTCATGAGAGCAGAGATGTGTTAATGGAACAGTTGTTCGAATTTAAGTTGTCCAACCTTGTAATCTTACAGATGAGAAAACCAAGAGCTATAGAAAGTTACACACACACACACACACACACACACACACACACACACACACACACACTCACTTTTCCATGCATTCCCCGCTATTATGAGCAAATAATAAGAAAGGTCCGAGCGCAGAGTTCTAGCAGCCTGTATCATTTGTCTCATGGCCACTTAGTGCTTCAGACTTCCACGACAGTCACTCCCTCGTGCCTCTGTGAGATCCGTGATCCATGGAGACAGGCTGATGGCAACAGAGAGCATTGCCTCCCTCGCTGTTGCATTTATTCTCCCTTTCCGTTGTTAAGAGATGTGTCAGGAACACTGAAAGCCCAGCAGATTCTACTCATTTTCTTACCTGCTGAAAGCCCTCAAGTGGGAGACTTGCCAAGGGTTCCCAACTGCTGTTGTTGCTGAATGTGTTCATGTGTTGGAAATGTAGCCCCCAGTGTGGTAGCATTGGAAGATGAGGCCTCGTGGGAGGTGTTTAGGTCGGGAGAGCTCCACCCCTTGAATGGATCGCTGCTGCTATGAAAAGGGCTTGGGGGAGTGGGCTTTCCTGCTCCCTCCTGCTCTTCTGCCATGGGAGGATACAACAGTGAGGCGCCATGTTGGAACCAGAGACCAAGCTGCCGTGATCTCAGACTTCCCAGGTGCCGTGATCTCAGACTTCCCAGGCTCCAGAATGGTGAGAAAATAAATTTCTGTCCTTTGTAAATTACCCAGTGGGTGGTATTCTGGTATAGCAGTGCAAAATAAACGAAGACACCTGCCATCACTCCCTTTTCCCTTTTCAAAGATTAATATTCTGGAACTCTTTATAGGCCCCAAAAATCCCGAAGTGGAAACAATAAGCAACTTACCTTAAATCCCAATCAATCTGAAAAGCAAAGGCAATGAATACATGGATACCTTCTCTCTTTGGAATTCCTTTTTCCATCTGACCCCTGGAACGTTGCCTTTATCTTCAGGATCAGAGAGATGTTAATGACATATTTTCTTTCTGATTCAAGCAGTTCCAGAGCCACCGTCTGTCTTTTAGCTTTAAAAAAAAAACAACAAACCCAAGAGGGAATTTTTGTTAACCATTTCTTCCTGAAATCCTACTAAAGGAAAGAAAGCAATAAATAAAAAGAGCCATCTGCAAGTTTTTGAAAGATAGAAGCAAAACAGAGGCACAGTAAATCATGCGAAAGAGGAAAGTGCGTGCAACCTTGGTGTTCCCATCTGCAGACAGGGAATCTGCTGAGAAGCTCAGAGAAGCTCAAGGATTGGAGACTCCAGGCATGATAGAAAGAGCAAATGAGGGGCAATGCTGAAAGCTGGAGAAATCGTTCAAAGTCTGCCTACGGTGCCATTGAACCTCACCCCGTGCCAAATGGTTTCTCGCTTCCACCCCTTGCGTAACAGGAAAAGTGAAACTAGAGAAGCCCTACTCTCTGGGATCTGGGCTAAGGACTTCTGACATCCTAGAGGGCAGAGTTGAGACACCAACATAAAAGTAAGAGGACTCAGGGAAGGCTGCGTGCTGAACAGTGAGACTCCCCGCAGCCACTTTCCCCTGCAGGTCCCAGAAAGTCAGCCCCCAGGTCTGCTGGAGACTGGAGGGCCATCCACTGGAGACACTGAACTTCCCAAGGACAAAAGACCTACAGACACTGCCATAAAGAGGTCACCTATCAAAAAGTTAATTTGCCACCTGATTGGCCTATCTATAATGCAGCCTGCTTGGCCAATACAAAATTTCTAGGGTTTTTTTAGGGCTCTTTCTTACACATAAATAATTGGCTAAGGATGTTCAGACATTTGAGCAAAGCTTATACCACAAAAGAAAGAGAAGAAAAAAGTATATACACATAGGGTTCTTAAAAGGAAGGATGCCCTGAAGAAAAAGAGATAATGCAGGATATAAAATTTGAAAATTGTTAATTTTATAATTAATATTCTCGAAGAGAAATTAGAAAAATATTTTAACCATTTAAAAATTACAAGATACTGTTTTTAAAAAGAGAGAATGTCCCCAAAAGGAGAAACTTTTAAACATTTTTAAAAGATAGAAAAAAATTAAAATGGCAGAAGATAAACTCAAATAAATCCCCCCCCCAAAAAAAATGAGGAAAGAGACATATTGAGGAGAAGAAGATAGTAATTGAGAAATCAATCTAAGAGATCAAACATGAAATCAGTAGAAGTTTTAAAGAAAAGAAAGAAGGCCTGGCGCGATGGCTCACACCTGTAATCCCAGCACTTTGGGAGGCCAAGGTGAGAGAATTGCCTGAGCCCACAGGTTCAAGATCAGCCTGGGCAATTTGGTGAGACCTCATCTCTACAGTAAATCAAAAAAATTAGCCGGGCGTGGTGGTGCACGCCTGTAGTCCCAGATACTTGGAAGGCTGAGGTAGAAGGATCTCCTGAGCCCAGCAGGTCGAGGCTGCAGTGGCCATGAGCATGCTATTGCACTCCAGCCTGGGCAACAGAGTGAGACACCAACTCAAAACAAAAAAAAAGAAAGAAAGAAAAGAAAATAGATGAGAGGGTATTATTAAAACAAAGACAAAAACAAAAAAACCTAGGACATGTATTTCCAGAAGAAAGAGCCAATTGTGCCCAGCATAATTAACAAAAAGGTCTCACATCATGATAAAGCACACCACATCACTGTGAAACTTTAGCACACCAAAAATAAAGAGAAGCTCTTCAAAGTTACCAGATAGAAAAGTAGGTAGCATACAAAAAACTGGGTATCAATAATGACATTAGAAGCTAGAAGACAATGAAACAATTGCTTTCAAATGATGAAAAGTGATTTATATGTAGCCAGATTATCGATCAAGCAGTAGAATCTACTGGATGGTGGGCTTCATCAAAACAAGAAGTAAACCAAGAAGGGCACAGAAAATGAAGATATCAACAACAAACAAGCAGGAATCAAACATGGGAAAATATAAAGAGAATTCCTAGGAAGACTGAAAAGTTCCAGAATGATGGCAGAGCTACAGGTCAGAGCAGAATAGGATGACCAAGGTCTCTAGGGCAAATACTTTAATAGTAACAACAACAAAAAAGTGGGCCAGGTGTGGTGGCACATGCCGTCATGTCAGCACTTTGGGAGGCCAAAGTGGAAGGAGTGCGTGAGCCCAGGAGTTCAAGGTTACAGTGAGCTATGATCAATAGTCATCAGGGAAGAGAGAATTGAAACTACAATATGATGCCAGAACACGCCTTGGAGAATGACTAGAATCTAAAAGTTGACCATGCTAGCGCCCCCATGCAGGGTTGGCGGGGCATGCAACTATCTAACCACTGTGGAAAACTGCTTAGCATCATCTCCTAAAGTTAAACATAATCCTAAGCCATCATCCAAAGATTTCACTCCTAGGTATACACCCAAGAGAAAGGAGTGCATACATCCAAAAAAGGAAATTTGTACAAGAATATTCATAGCAGTTTTATTCATAGTAGCCCCAAACCGGAAACAAACAGATGTCCATCAATAGAGAATGGATTTTTAAAATTGCGGTAAATTCATTCAATACGATGAATAAAAAGGAATGAACTGCCAGATGAATTGCATGCAAACATATGAATGAATCTTCTAAAGCTTTATGTTGGGAAAAGAGGCCAGGCACAAAAAAGTATATGCTGTATTATTCCATTTATATGAAGTTCAAAAACAGACAAAACTAATTTATGGTAATAGAAGTCACAGGAACGACTCTTTGGGTGAGCATTGACTGAAAAGGTGTCTGAGAGAACTTTCTGGATAATAGAAATATTGTATATCTTGATCTGGGTCGTGATCAGAGGGGGGCCCCAAAATGGAATCTATTTATAAAAAATTGTGTATTTATTCTTACATGTTTTAACTTCAGTCACCTTCAAAGTCCTCTCCGTTGGATGCAATACACCTATCAAGATGCTTTTTCCACTGCTCAACACAGTTTTTGAACTCATCCACTTTGATGCCTTTTAGTGCTTCTGCTGTTTTTTGTTCCCCTTCTTCCACACTGGAAAAACGTTTCCCTTTGAGGGCTTTTTTCATCCGGGGAAACAACAACAAAAAAAAGTTGCTTGGGGTGAGAGTGGGTGAATAGGGAGGTAGGGCACAGGGGTCATGCCGTCTTGGGGTCAAAAACTGCTGAACACTCAGCGTGTTGAACCAGTCACCTGTTTGTCACAACTCAGGACGTTTCTTCCACAAATCGTGATGCAACCTTCTCAGAACTTCCAGATAAAAACTTTGGTTGACTGATCCAGAGAGACAAATCTCAAGTGTACTATAAAAGGCCTGCCCTCCAAGAGATAATTCCAGGGTTTTTTTTTTTTTTTTAAGTCCATCCTCCCCTTGTATATAAAAAGCCAATGAGCTGAAATTTTTTTTTTTTTTTTTCTTTGAGTTGGAGTCTCACTCTGTCACCCAGACTGGAGTGCAGTGGCCGCTCCCGGCCACCGCAGCCTCGCCTGCTGGGCTCTGGCGATCCTTCCAGTGGCTCAGCCTTCCGAGTAGCTGGAACTACAGGTGCGCGCTACCACGCCCGGCTCATTTTTTGATTTATTGTAGAGATGAGGTCTCGCCAAGTTGCCCAGGTGGGTCTTGAACCCGCGGGCTCAGGCAATCCACTCACCTCAGCCTCCCAAAGGTGTGGGATTACAGGCTGAGCCACCGAGCCCGGCTGAGCTGAAATTTAAGCTCTGTGAACGCTATGTAAATTAACCTGCAATAAAGTACTGTTTAGAAATAGCAGCATAAACTTTTTTTAAGAACATGAAAGGGAGGACGATCACCAACCCTGCCCAGGCATTCCTGCCCTCTGACCAAAGAAACCAAGAAAGCAAGTACCAGAAAAAGGAGTTACGGTGGTTGCCGCCCTTCTTCATACAAACCTTTTAGTGCTATTTAGTTTTTCATGTATTTGATTTTTTAAGATATTTTTTAAAAATCACCTCACCCCAAATAGTTGGGGGAAATGGCACTGTCTGACAAAGTAAGTATTTAGGAATTATTTATGAGGTGAAGGAAAGGAAGGAGAGAGAGAAGGAAGGAGGACAGCCCTGTTGCAGAGTCTGACATGTTGGTGGTAAACATCTGATGAAAAAGTTATAGATTCATATGAATATTCAAATACTCATATAGGTTCACATCACTGGCTGAATCATTTCCAAGATTCTGCCCTCTTCTCCACCAACCTCATGCCTTTTATTCCCCAAAGCACTGCATTACTAAATGTCACCAACACCCAGAAGCAAGATGGTGGTCCCAACTGGCCAAGGGACCCCTAGTGATTCCCTTCACCTCCATAGGCTTTGGTTGCTCCATTCGGAAAGGCGCCCAGAGGTGAGGGGGGGGGTCTATGTGCCCACTGACTCTAAATGGCTAGGATCCTAGTCCTTAGGTTCAAAACTCTGGAATGTCCTGTTCTTTCAACTATTGGCCTGCAACCCCCTGGGACTTACCAGCTAAAGAGCTTTCACACAAGACATTTTCCAAGGAGCTGTGTCTACCCTGGCTGGCTTCCTTGAGTTTATCTGGGTGGTCCTTCGTGACATATTCCTCGCCCCATTCCTTCCCCTCCTTGGGCTGCCTCCACATGCCAGATGGGAGATGGCCCTTGGGCTGGATGTCAGCTGAGAGGCAAGTCTTGAGGTTTTCTTCTGCTTCGGGGGTTGTGGGGTTTACTCCTGAAAAACAATACAAAACAAAACCTGCTGTCAAGATCTGACATTTGAAAAAATTGTATGTCTCTGCTTAGATACAATTTTTATTTCCTAAAAATTGAATACATCAATGAAAAATTAAACAGTTTCACAGCTGCAAGAGGTCATCTCTCTCTCTGCTTCTGGTCTATACATCCTCTATGCTTTGAACATAGTCTTTACTAAATAAGCAGTTTAGAAAAAGTAAATTTATGGCCGGATGCAATGGCTCATGCTTATAACCCTAGCACTTTGGGAGGTGGAGGCGAGAGGATTGCCTGAGCGCAGGAGTTCGAAACCAGCCTGGGCACAACATGATGAGACCTTGTCTCTACAATAAATCACAATATTAGCTGGCCATGTGGTGCACGTCTATAGTTCCAGCTACTTGGAAGGCTGAGGCAGAAGGATCGCCTGAGTCCAGCAGGTCAAGGCTGCGGTAGCTATGAGCTTGCCACTGCCCTTCAGCCTGGGCAACAAAATGAGACTTCAACTCATGAAAAGAAAAGTTAACTTATAAAACAGTATAACTAATGTACAGTAATATGTATTGACCACTCATATCGACTTCCTTTCAGGTGAGCACACCAGATAGGTGCCTGGAGCACTCCTGGGAAGAGGATGTGGAAAGAATAGGAGGAAGGGTGACAAAGACAAGGCCTTCTTTTGCCATTTTCCCCCTTGATGCTAATGATAGATGCAAAAAGAAAATAGGAAGAAAGAGAGGGAAGTTAAAATAATTTATAAAATTCTAGTGAGTTGTCAATTCCGTAAATAACTTTTGAATTAAACTATACAGTACTTGATCCAAGGAACACTTACATTCACCCGTGAGATTTCAGCAGATGTTCATTCATTAGTTGTCGAAATAAGCCAGAAAGAACCAAGAATACTGGTTTTGTCTTAAACTTCCCCAGTCCTTCTCTCGACTTGGGTTTAAATGAGTCATTGACCTGACCTAGCACATATCTTGGAATCGTAGTAGCCATAATGCTATATTTTGCATGGGTTCCCTTGTGCCTGACCTGGAACTGAGGGAATAGAAGCAGGGAAGACAGGAGAGGGGAGGAGCGGAATTGCTGAAGAAAAGGGAACTAACACAAGAACCACTTACCAGGACCCATCATTCCCTTCACATTACTGTCTCCCACATGAACGGATCTGGACTCCTGGGCTGCAGAGAAAGGAAAACTTTCATTCAAGGTTCATTCCACTCACATGGACCAAGTACCTTCTTTGAGCCAGGCATTGGGGACACACTCACATTCCAGAGTTTTGTGGGAGAAACAGAACAGGAAGAAAAAAAATTACAGTGTCTTGTGGCAAGTGCTATTTTCTCAGCTGTTAAAAGATATAATAGTGGTATTGATTACAATAAGAATTAGTTAATAATTATAAACTGCTTGAAGTAGTAACTGACATACTGTCAGAGCTAAATTGTTGTTTTGATGATGGCAGTGGTGATGATGGTTATGATGAGAAGAGACAGAATAATGCTACTAAAATATAGGTCAAACTCTGTCATTCCTCTGCTTAGCCCTCCAATGGCTTTCCACATCAGTGCAAAAGCCAAAATCCTTAAAATGACCACATAGCCCTAGAATATATGCCCCATACTCCCACCCACTGTTTCTTTTCTTTTCTTTCTTTCTTTCTTTTTTTTTTTCTTTGTAGTAGGAGTCTCACTCTGCCACCCAGGCTAAAGTGCAAGGGTACAATCATAGCTCACCTCAACTCTGGCCTCCTGGGCTCAGACGAACCTTCCACTTCAGTCTTTCAAGTAACTGAGACTACAGGCACACACCATCATGCCCAGCTAATTTTTTTTTATTATTTTTTGTAGAGACAGGGTTTTACTATGTTGCCCAGGCTGATCTTAAACTCCTGGGCTCAAGCAATCCTCCTGCCTCAGCCTCCCAAAATGCTGGGATTACAGGCATGAGCCCCTGCTCCTGGCCTCTTTCTTTCTTTCCCTTTCCTTCCTTCCTTCCTTCCTTCCTTCCTTCCTTCCTTCCTTCCTTCCTTCCTTCCTTCCTTCTTTCTTTCTTTCTTTCTTTCTTTCTTTCTTTCTTTCTTTCTTTCCTCTGCCTCTTCTGTTGTTTCCCTTATTCCCACTGCTTTAGCCCCATTGGTCTTCTTGCTGTTCCTTGAATATATCAGTTATGTTCCCTCAGGACCTTGGCACTGGCTGGTCTCTATTTTCCCTATCCATGACTGGACTTCCTCACTTCATTCAGGTCTTTACCTGCCACCCCATCTAAAATCACAGTCCCTCTTTACTTGTTTTTTAACTTAACTTATCACTGTCTAACATACTACAGATTTTACTTATCTTGTTTCTTGTCTGCTTCCCTCCAAACAAAGGCTCCATAAAGACAGGAATTTTTGTTGTTTTGCTCATCACTATACCCCAACTAAGTGTCCAGGATGAATGGATGGATGGGTAGGGGGATGGATGTGGATGGATCGATAGATGGATGGATAGATGAATGGATAAGTAGATGGATGGATGAATGGGTAGGGGGATGGATGAGTGGATAGGTGGATGGATGGATAGGTGAGTGGATGGATGGATGGATGGATGGATGGATGGATGGATGGATGGCTGGATGGATGGATTGATAGATGGATAGATAGATGAATGGATAAGAAGATGAATGAAGCCCGGTTCGGTGACTCAGCCTGTAATCCCACACCTTGGGAGGCTGAGATGAGTGGATTGCCTGAGCCCACGGGTTTGAGACCCGCCTGGGCAACTTGGTGAGACCTCATCTCTACAATAAATCAAAAAATTAGCCGGGTGTGGTAGCGCATGCTGTAGTTCCAGCTACTTAGAAGGCTGAGGCGGAAGGATCGCCGGAGCCCAGCTGGTCGAGGCTGTGGTGGCCGAGAGCAGCCACTGCACTCCAGCCTGGGCGACAGAGTGAGACTCCAACTCAAAAAAAAAAAAATAGAAGATAGATGAATGGATGGGTAGGTGGATGGATGAATGGATAGGTGGATGGATGGATGGATGGATGGATGGATAGGTGATGGATGGATGGATGGATAGGTGAGTGGATGGATGGATGGATAGATAGGTGGATGACTGAATGGTTAGCTGGATGGATGGATTGATGGATGAGCTATTGGGTGCCATAAGCATGCACTAGAGGAGCACATGATCTGGATTTGGTGGGAGGAAGATTGGATACTAGGAAGGATGACGTTAGTAATATTTTCTACAATCGCGTTATTTATTTATTTATTTTTTGAGTTGGAGTCTCACTCTGTCGCCCAGACTGGAGTGCAGTGGCCGCTCCCGGCCACCGCAGCCTCGACCTGCTGGGCTCCGGCGAGCCTTCCTCCTCAGCCTTCCGAGTAGCCGGAATGACAGGCGCGCGCTACCACGCCCGGCTAATTTTTTTTATTTTATTGTAGAGATGAGGTCTCGCCTGCCCAGGCGGGTCTCGAACCCACGGGCTCAGGCAATCCACTCACCTCAGCCTCCCAAAGGCACGGGATTACAGGCTGAGCCCCCGAGCCCGGCTATAATCGTGTTATTTAAAGTGTGACCCATGGATCAGCAGCACTGACATCACATGGAAGATTGTGAGAAATAAAGAATCTCAAGCCCCAGTCCAGACCTGCTGGATCAGAATCTCAACAATGTTTGATCAGTCTCGCATGAAAGGCCCTGATCTAGAGAACTTGGAGGATGAAGAGGAGCTGGAGGGTGATGAGTAGAGGGAAGAGTAAGTATCAGGAAAGCCAGACCACAGAATGCATGGTGCATGGCAGGGCCTGAAAGAGTATCAGGATGGTCTGGATGTGGAGAGGGAGGTGGAGGGTGACAAAAAATTAATGGGAGGGGAAAAACAGAGGCTCGTTAATCCATGGCCTTATAAACTGTGGTAAGGAGTTCGGACTTTTTTCTTAGGGCAATTAGGAATCAACAAGAGAATCTAAGAATGGGCTGAGTGAAGTGGCTCACACCTGTAATCTCAACACTTGGGAGGCTGAGGCCTCACTTGAGGCTAGGAATTTGAGACTAACCTGGGCAACATAGTGAGACCCTATCTCTACACACACAAAAAAATGAAAAATTAGGTGGATGCGGTGGCATGAACTTGTGGCCCTACCTACTCAGGAAACCAAGGTGGGAGGATCGCTTGAGCCCAGGAGTTCAAGGCTGCAGTGAGCCATGATTATACCACTGCACTTCAGCCTGGGTGACAGAGTGAGACCCTGCTTCTAATTATAAGGAAAAAAAAAAAAGAATCTAAAGCACAGCCAGAAAGTAAAGGAAAAGCAAAAAAGCACAGTGTTAACCAAAAGAAGAGAACATTTCAAGAAGGCAGGTATCAAGGGTATCAAAAACTATGAAGATAAAAAGGAAACAGTGTCAGTGGAGCGATAAGGAAGGAAGCCGCCGGGTGTGGTAACTCACATCTATAATCCTGGCACTTTGAGAGGCCGAGGTGAGAGGATTGTCTGAGCCCATGGGTTCAAGACCAGCCTGGGCAACTTGGCGAGATCGCATCTCTACAATAATTCAAAAAATAAACCAGGCGTGGTAGCATGCGCCTGCAGTTCCAGCTACTTGAAAGGCTGAGGTGGAAGGATCGCCTGAACCCAGCAGGTTGAGGCTGCGGTGGCCATGAGCGTGTCACTGCACTCCAGCCTGGGCAACAGGGTGAGATGCCAACACAAAAAAAAAAAAGAAGGAAACCAATCGTGAAAAAGTTGAATGAATAGGAGGTAAGAAAGAGGAGATGAACGGTGGAACCATATCTACTTTTTTAAATAGTGTATTTTAAAGATGGGTACAATTCAGGATTAGGTAACAAGTGGACATCATACAGGTAAAGTTTGGGCCTCCCTTTGGTCCCCACTTTGCCCGGTTTGAGATCAGGTACCCTAATTGATGTTGTGTCCCCTCCCACCCCTACCCTGGCAGTACACCACTACTGCCGATCGCTTTCTTAGAGTATTATGGTAAATGTGGAACCATGTCTTTCAAAAAGGTTGGCTTTCAACTGCCTTAAGCAAGAACAGGTCAGGAGTGGGAGGCTAAGTATCTTCTTAATGTGTCTTGAATGGGGAAAGGAACCCAACAGAAAGATATTATTGGGCTTATAAAACGACATTATCAAACTTGTCAGTTAAACAAGTACAAGGCATATAAATGAAGCTTTCACATCACAGGGCTCCTATAAGGAGCTGCCTTCTCAAATGGAGGGTCAGCCATTGAGGTCAGCAGCCTCAGGGGACCCAGCTATCCCCACACCTCAGCGTTCATGTCCTTGTGTAATCCCTACCCTTAGGCAAAGGCTGGATTTAGCGATTAGCATCTAATATAATACAGCAGAAAAGATGAACTGCCACTTTCAAGATGAGGTTATAAAAAGACTGTGGCTTATGTCTTGACCACACTCTTACATCACTTGCCCTGGGGAAGGTCAGCTGCCGTGTTGTGAGGCAGCAATTGGGAGAGGCCTGTGTCTCAAGAACTGGAGCCTGCTAACGACCATGTGTGCAAGCGTAGAAGCCATGGAAGTAGCCGTGGCCACCACCTGGACTGCAGCCTCATGAGAGACCTTGCTCCAGATTCCTGACTCAGCGAAACTGTGAGTCATGAATGTTTGCTCTTTTAAGCTACTGAATTTTGGGGCAATAGATAACAGTTACATCATTTTATCATAAAGAGTAGGTTAGCCAGTCCAGTGCGGTGGCTCACTACACAGGACCAGACTTCAGGAGGCCAAAGCAGGAGGATGGCTTAAGCCCAGGAGTTTGAGACCAGCCTAGGCGACATAGAGAGACCTCGTCTCTACTACTACTACTACTACTACAAATAATAATAGTAATAATAATAATAATAATAATTAGCCAGGCATGGTGTGGATGCCTGTAGTTCTAGCTACTTGGGAGGCTGAGGTGGAAGGATAGTCTGAGCCCAGGAGTTTGAGGCTGCAGTGAGCCATGATTGTGCCACTGTGAGGCTGCAGTGAGCCATGATTGTGCCACTGCACTCCAGCCTGGGTGACAGAGTGGGTAAGCCAACACTTTCTGAAAGTTTGGTCCATCAACCCTGGGTTTTACTGCAAGCTTCCACGAATGATATCCAAAATGTCTTATTAGGGCACATTGTTCTTAAATTTCTGCAACCACTCAGTAGAATAAACTACAACCACGTCTATTAGCAGAGAAGGAAGGAAGAGTTGCCACTAAATAGTTGATAAATCCACGTGGGCACTGGTCACTCGGATCGGCTGTATCCAGTGGACTCAACAAATTCTGTGATTACTCCTCTCTGAGGGAGCTGTCCATACATTGCCTAAAGACACAGACGTTTGCTCTGCCAATATAATTTTTAATCTTTTATCTTGTGAGCATGTGTAGCTGCCCCAGATCTGGCATTGGTCTGACTTTTACTTTCCAGGCCCTTCCTGTGCTCTTTCTTAACAAGGATCATCCTCCTAGGTCTCGCTCTCCATGTCCTGGAGGACAGAAAGCAGAGCCATCTGCAATGGCCTCTCTCCTTGGGTGAATTCAGTGAGTTTTCCCATGCTGTGCTTATCAGTCTCTAGAACAACTTGGTCCAATGTGTAATAAATAAAAATCTAGAAAGCAAATCTGTACATGCCAATTAAAAGGCACTTGACTTTGATTTTAAGATGCAATTATTCAGAGCACACTTAGTCTTTGAATCTATAAACCAAAATGCTCATAAGCCTTAAGGATAGGAAACCACCAACCCTGCTTTTGAGGTACTGCACTTGGTTGAGAGATCATTGAACCCATCTTCTAAGGACTTCCTATATGAAACCAAAATAAGAGGAAAAATCATCTAAACAATGTTAATACCTACATTCGTTTTTCTCAGTATAGCAGACATCCCATGGAAATCCGGTTTCTTTCATATTGCCAGCATGCAGTTTTGTTTTGTTTTTTAAGAGATAGGGTCCTGCTCTGTGCCCCAGGCTGAAGTGCAGTAGTGTGATCATAGCTCACTGTAACCTTGACTTCCTGGGTTCCAGCAATCCTTCCACCTCAGCCTCCTGAGTAGCTAGAACTATTGGTGTGTGGCACCACAACCAGGTAATTTAAAAAACTTTTTTTTTATAGAGATGGTGTTTCACTATGCTGCCCAGACTTGGTCTCAAACTCCTGGCCTCAAGTGTTCCTCCCACCTTAGCCTCCCAAAGTGAGCATCTGGCTAGTGTGCCATTTTCTAACATCTGTTCCGACATCCCTAAGGTCAGAGAAGTGGCTGGTGATTGCTTCAGGCCATGGACAGCACTATTTTTGGTTTTCCAGAGAAAGACAATAGAATGATTTATTCGAGCAAATTTTTTTTTTAACATTTCTCTCTTAGGGTTGGTATAGTATTGATGATGCAATAAAAGATTTTTAATCTAGTTAAAACTTAGAAGTATCCAGATTAGCATTTTCCCAAAAAAGAAAATCTTTTAAATTGGGCAGACTTTTGGGGTCACTTAGGTGCTCTGGATTCTTCTAAGTTCCAATTGCAAGAGGGAAAATTCTGGGCAATATACCAGTTTCCTCTAATAAGGATGGAGGACTCAAGACCCTTCTAACTATGATTTAAGCCTAGGAATTAGGGGAAAAACACTTGGTATTCAGTAAGATTCATGTTCTGTACCTTTTTCATAGGCCTGGGAAGGCAAAAGATTGGGAAAGTCTTCACTTGGAAGGACAGGCTCGGGAATGTTGATTGAACGGAAGGGGCTTCCTTGAGCTTGCTGTGCAGGCCCGGCCTGGGAGCTGTGTTCTTCTTTTTGAGTTTTCCTAGGAAAGAAAACAAAGACAAAGGAAAAGACAAAGACAAAGGAAAGACAAAGCCAGTTTGACTCTTAATATCTGATAGGTTAGGAAGTACTTCAGTTCAAACAAACTCAAGAAAATATCTAAATGATTCAGTAGAACCATAGAAGTTGCTGTTTTTGTAAATGTGACGTGGTCAAATATTAGCAATTTATTTGGTTCTACATAATTCATCACCTAAACTGGAGAAGAAACATCAGATACCTACAAATCACTGTCTAATGAGAATACCCACATTCTTATTTTTTGTTACTGGCTTCCCTATCTCAGACTCCTTAGAATTTGCAGTGGGACAGTTTGCTTGGGATAACTTGTATTCTCTTAACAAAACAACTCAAAGTTACCAAAAAGCAACTGGTCTTCAACTGAAAATGGTAACTCCTTTTTCAAGGTCACACAAATATTATTCCCATATTTCTATTTTAAATTTGGCAATGTTAAAAACATACATGTAGCAGTAAAGATTATTATGTTTAGTGGTGAAACACTACTGGATTCAACCTGGTTGAGACATTGTTTAACATAACTTTATTTTCAACTGTAGAAGTAAAATAATAGTAGCATTAGAGAAATTTTAGAAAACTATTAAAAAAGGAACATCGTTGGTAGTTATTTTACCACAACAGTCATTCTTTTTCTTTCTTTTTTCTTTTTTTTTTGAGTTGGAGTCTCTCTGTCACCCAGACTGGAGTACAGTGACCGCTCCCAGCCACTGCAGCCTCGACCTGCTGGGCTCCGGCAATCCTTCCACCTCAGCCTTCCAAGTAACTGGAACTACAGGTGCGCGCTACCATGCCTGGCTCATTTTTTGATTTATTGTAGAGATGAGGTCTCACCAAGTTGCCCAGGCGGGTCTCCAACCCATGGGCTCAGGCAATCCACTCACCTCAGCCTCCCAAAGGCGAAGGATTACAGGCTGAGCCACCGAGCCTGGCTCATTATTTTTAAATATATCTTTCTGGCTGTTATTTTACCTGTTTTTACCGTTGTAACCAAAGCATACACACTATTTTGCATCCTTTCCATTTCACACATTGTTAAATACATTTTTCCTTGTAATAGTTATCATTCACTTGTTTGTTTGTGTGTTTGTTTGTTTGTTTGAGTCAGAGTCTCAGTCTGTTGCCCATCCTGGAGTGCAGTGGCACAATCACAGCTCACCACAGCCTAGACCTCTTGGGATGAGGCCCTCCTTCCACCTCAGTCTCCCAAGTAGCTGGGACTACAATTACGCCACCACGTCTGGCTCATTTTTTGATGTTTTTGTAGAGATGAGGTCTCGCTATGTTGACAAGTCTGGTTTCAAACTCAGCTAAAAGTGGCCACGTGCAGCGGCTCAGGCCTATAATCTCAGCAGTTTGAGAGGCCGAGGCAGGAGGGCTACAATCCTTCTGCCTCGGCCTCTCAAACTGCTGAGATTATAGGCCTGAGCCGCTGCACGCGGCCACTTTTGATATTAACCAGCTTTTATGGCTCCGTGACTAACCTCCATGGCGTGCTGAACTGTGGGGCACAGTGACCAACTATTTAGATACTGATAGTGAGGAAGGTGTTTCCAGCCCTTCTACATAAGCCATTGTTGATGGGTTTGCCTTTGGTAAATGTTTTTAAGACACTCACTTGGCTTTAACTTTTCTAGATTCTCTTCGCTTCTCCTGTTGCAGCTGTTCAATTTTCTGCTGCATCTCCTCTTGTTTGGAAGTGATGGCCTGGATCATTGACATGGCATTACTTAGCTCCTCCTAAAAAATAAGAATTGCTATGTTTTATACTGACTGGGACAGGGGGTAAAAGTACACAACATAATCAAGTACACCATAACTTTTTTTTTAATTCTCATTTTTGATTCAGGGGGTACAAGTACATGTTTATTACATGGACATATTGCGTACCAGTGGGGATTGGGCTTGGAGTGACCCATTCCTCAGACTGTGAACATTGTATCCAACAGGTAACTTTTGAACTCTAACCCCTCTTTCCGTCTCCTCCCTATATGGATGTCCCCAGTGTCTATTCTTTCTATCTTTTTTAACATTTAGTTCCTACATATGAGTGAGAATATGTGAGGTTTGATTTTCTGTTTTTGAGTTAATTCACTTAGGATAATGTTCTCTAGGTCCATTTTCTGCAAAAGACATGATTTTGTCCTTTCCTATGGTTGCCACTATAAACTTTTAATACATATCTATTGAATGGATAAATGAGAGATGAAAAATTGGCTTCCACATGGCCTCTAATTGTAACACAGACCCCCCTTCCCCCCCCAAAAAAATCATGAAATAGAGATTTTTCCATAACTGGTGAATGAGCCAGAGAAAACATTTTTATATTTGGCTGTTATGGGAAAAGGCACGTTTTCTACTCCTGCTACCAAGACCAAGATCCTCTTTTCAGCCGGAAAACTGAAGAGGGGCCTACCTTGAAATAGTTTAATGAGTTCTTCATCTCAGTAACTTTTTCTTCCATGGAACATTTGCAACTCTTAACCTTTTCTTCCAAAGCATATTCTCCATGTTGAATTCGTGACAGTTCTTGCATTGCTTCTGTGAACCCAGTTTTGAGTTCAGAGGCTAGGGCCTGCAACTAAATAATCAGGAAAAGTGAATTCAATTTGCTGTAAATTCTTATAGAAGGCACCATCGGCCCTTGAGGTTTTCTCTTGTTTGGGAACCCAGGCTCCTGAAAATCTACAGACCTCATTTGCTAGTCTACTGAAGTTTGGACAACTTAACCTTGGCCATATCCTTCTAGGGAAAACAGGGTCTTCTTGACACAGCACATGCTGAAGCTTGGTAAGTGAAAGCAAGCAATTAATTAAGTTTATAAGTACTCCTGCAAGCTTCTATTTACTCTGAAGCCTTTGATTAAAATGAAATTGACTTGAAAAGAAACATATGTATGTGAAAGACTATCTTGATCCAGTAACTCTTAGAATTCTGTGAGAGAAGAAGGATGGGTCACATTCTTTCTGGTTGGTATGAAAGACAAAAAAAATTCAGTCCTTCCCTTAAGAAGTTAAAGGATAGAAAGAGTAATAGCCAGGTGTAACTGATAATTACTTTGAAAGGGAAGAAGTTTTTTATTTATAGCCTTAGATGATATGTAGAAAAGAAGGAAATGGACTTTTTTTGTTTTTTGAGTCAAGGGTCTCACTCCGTTGCCCAGGCTAGAGTGCAGTGGGACACTCACAGCCACTGCAGCCTTGACCTGTGGGCTCAGGTGATCCTTCCACCTCAGCCTTCCAAGTAGCTGGTACTACAGGTGTGTGCAACCACACCTGGCTAATTTTTTAATTTATATAGAGACGAAGTCTAGCCAAGTTGCCTAGAGTGGTCTCGAACTCCTAGACTCAGGCAGTCCTCTTGCTTCTGCCTCCCCAAGTGCTGAGATTATAGTCGTGAGCCACAGCTCACAGTGGAAATGGCCTTTTTGATGACGGTATGCTTTAATCCATAAAGAAGGCACAGAAGTATCTGGTAGGACACGATAGGAGCTCAGTTGACGTTGATGGTGGTGTAAGTCATCTTCAGCTGTCAAGCCTGGTCATGCAGGAGTGCACACAATGAACTTCTGCAGTCAACTTCCACACCTGGCTCTCCCCCGCAAGTACTAAGACAAGCTGACTGACTTCTGTGTAGCACTCTCCTCATCCATAAGATGCTATCGTATCTATTTCCCTGGGCTGTGTTGAAAGTGTGTGAACTTAGGCCAGCCACCTACCACAGACATACTCAGTACACGGGTGTTCAAAACATTTTAATGCTTCTCCCCCTTTACAGGGAAAATCCAAAAGTTAGACACAAACAGAAATGTGGAGAAAATGCAACAGTCCTAAATTTCAGTTTTATTTATTGAGCAAATGAAAAAAGCATTTTCAACAGACAGTAGGTTAAGATACTAATAACAATACGATAAGAGCACTTTCTTGACATTGACGATCTTCCACCCTGATAAGCAGAGGAACTCTTAGCTCCGCTTCTCTCTTTAAAACAGAACCATTTAGGTTCATTCCACAGTCAAGTATTCTTATTTGAAAGGAATGAAAACTAAAGTCCAGGCTCCCTAACACAGTTTTTTCTAATGTGTATTTCTAAACATTTTCAGAATCAGATCATCCAAGTGGTTCCAATCTGCATTGGCACCGCCCGCTACACAATGACTTAGTCTCCTGAATCATATTTTTAAAATACAAAATTTTGTAGCTCACTGCACCTCACAAAGGAATTCTTTCTGGGGCTAGGAGTAGGGAGAAATGAGGAACCAGAGAGATTTTTTTTTTTTTTTTCCTGAGTTGGAGTCTCACTCTGTCGCCCAGACTGGAGTGCAGTGGCCGCTTCCGGCCACGGCAGCCTCGACCTGCTGGGCTCCAGTGATCCTTCCGCCTCAGCCTTCCAAAGTGGCTGGAACTACAGGCGCGCTACCACACCCGGCTAGTTTTTTGATTTATTGTAAAGATGAGGTCTCACCAAGTTGCCCAGGCGCGTCTCGAACCCACGGACTCAGGCAATTCACTCACCTCAGCCTCCCAAGGCGTGGGATTACAGGCTGAGCCACCGAGTCTGGCTCAGAGAGATTATTTTGAGGAAAAAAAAAATCAGGGCCTGTCAAGTGTTTAGGGCCAGAAGACTGGGAAAACAACGTGAGCAATCTGTTTCTCCAGTCCCATCGTTTTTAATTAGAATTAATCTTTGTAATGGATTTTGGCACATGTCCTAATTCAGTCATCATGATGGATTAAACCACCAGATCAACAACTTCCTGGTAATTTTCATTATGTAAATTCATCTTCTGTGAGCAAAATAAACAAAACTGATGGCTATAGAATGGCAAAGCAAAAACTTGCTCAAGTTTTAAAATTGAAGAACAGAAACCCGATATCTTAGGTTTCCTGCTTGGAAGGAGAAAAAAAAAGGAACCACTATCTAACAGAAATAGGTTTCGTGATCCCTGCTCCCTTAGGTGCATGTGTGGAGTTTTCCTCAGAAAGCCAAAACCAGCAGCATGTCCTAGGGACAAGACCTTCCCTCACCTGTAAAACCTCAGCTCTCAAAAAATTAAAAACTGGAATTTCCCCATAACAGCCAGGTTACACGGGACTCTGGTAATTCTGAAGCTATTGTGTGTTTACATGCCATTTCCTCCCCATATGTTACTTTGAGCCCTTGGGGTACCTGAAATATTACTGCTTTGTAAACAGCTCACAAAACTGGCCAACTAGGGAAAGGAAGCCATTTTGACACAATCACACACCTAAGACAGCATGTCACTCACTTTTAAGATGCTGAGGGCTGTTAATATCTTTAACTGACACAGACTGGGTTTCCCATACCAACCTGACCACTACCTTGTGAATAAAAAATACTCTAAAGACATGGTCTTATCATCTTTTTTCCCCCTATTTTTTATTAGAGACGAGGTCTCACTATGTTGCCCAGGCTGGTCTCAAACTCCTGGGCTCAAGCAATCCTCCCACCTCAGCCTCCCAAAGTTCTGAGATTATAGGCGGGAACCACCATGCCAGGCCTTCTTAACATCTTTTCTCAACTGTCTCTTCGGCTTTCTTATTTGATGGCCCACAGCCCACCCCAAGGACTAGAAACGGGTGTCTACCTTGTTCTCCAGCGAGTTGAACACGTTCGTCATCTCGTTGATTTTTTCATGAAGCTGCTCTAGAGAGATTATGATCCCTCCATCCTGCCGCTGGAGGCGGGCTCCCACGGAAGACGGGTTCAGGGGAGGCTTGTACTTGGAAGCCTAGGGCACCACAGAGGGCATCTTAGGCTCAAATCCATAGGGGAGAGGGCTCCGAATTCCTCCCATTTCCTGCTCTTAATCTCTGTTTCTCATTTTCTTTCCTTCCTTGATGTCTTAACTCTTTTTAAGATGAATCTTAGCGTTATCCGATTTTTTTTCCCACTAAACATCCCACAGTCCTCGGACTTAATGTCCACAAATTCCAACGTTTGCTTTACACAGACTTTCCCTTCCTTTCTGCCACATTATCAAGGTCATGAAGCTGCTCCAAGACAATTTCAGGGACTGAACTTGTGCCTTGGAAACTCTGCAAAGTCATGTCAAGGTTTGGGGAACCTCCTTAAGGCATGCCAAATTCTTTTAACTGGAAAGAGCAAGAGCTGAGGAGTTTTGTAGTAGCACATACATGCTGGCAAGGATGCCAAGGTCATTTCTTTTACTTCCCCTAAACCCAGCTCACTGCAGAAGCAACGTAGTTTTTCTGCCAACTTCCATCTCCCAGTTTTAGCCCCTCTTTATTAACCCTAGAAATGCAATGATTTAAAATACAAAGTGAGCAGTAAGCAATCTGACTGTAGTGAGTGAGGTTCCCAAATCCTCCCTCTACACTCCCTGCAGAAGTTGACCCCAACCACCATCCTTACAGGCCATCTAGAAGCTGGTGTGAAGCCTGGTGTGCTTTATCTCAAGGATCCTTGGATGCACAGCTGGCCTAGAAGAGTTCATGTCTCCGGGTGTTTGGAGAACATTCCTCACCCAGGACTTACAGATCCTAGCAAACTTTCAATGGCGGTTTTGACAATAAAACCCATTATGGCAGGACTGGTTCCCATAGTTTTTCAATGAGAGGTCCTTTTGGCACTTAATTTATTGTCTAAAATTATTTTCATTACAGAGAAAAATAAAGAAGAAAAAGAGAATCACTCCAATCTCATTATTTCATTATAACCATTAATGTTCATATTTTCTTCTATTTTGCTCTAGGCATATAAATGCAGATATTAACATGACTGAAATCACACCGAAGATACATTTTGATTTTCCCCCTCCTTTTCCTCCCAGGATTCTAAGAAGTCCATTTCCTTATCCTTCAAAAGTTTCTAAATGTCCATTTTTAATGACAATATACTATTCAGTCCATCCTATGAATGTGACACACTTTACCTATCCATTACTCTTGTTTGAAAATTTGTGGTTTGTAATTTTTCAATATTATAGGTAATGCTGTCATATAGTGTTTTATTTAAAGTTTTATATATATTTTAGATTATTTTCTTAGAATAAATTCTTTTTTTTTTTTTTTTTGAGTCGGGATCTCACTCTGACACCCAGTCTGGAGTGCTCATGGCTCAGTGCTGCCTCAATCTCCTGGACTCAGGCAATCCTTCTGCCTCAGCCTCCTGCAAAGCTGGGACTATAGGTGCACACCACCATGCCCTGCCAGATAAATTACTAAATATGAAATAACTGTGAGTCAAAGATGTTAGGTAACATTTGATCCAAAGGGAAAATTTACTACATTGCAGAGAGGTAATCCATTCAGTTAGTTAGTAATTATACAAATATATTTGATCAGAGGGTTTGGAAAGTTGTAACAATATGGTTGTATATTCTTGAGACATTATATATGATATGCAATCTCCTAAATTAATGGACTTAGAAAAACATGTCTTGAATAATAAGATATAAAACATGGCTGAGCATGGTGGCTCACTCCTGTAATCTCAACACTTTGAAAGAGGATTGCCTGAGTCCAGGAGTTTGAGACTAGCTTGAGCAACTTGGCGAGGCTTCGTCTCTACAATAAATCAAAAAATTAACCAGGCATG